GAGTCTGGGCTGGGCATCCAAACCCCCACGGCCTGAGTTAGTTCTGAACCAGCCCACCAGGACGAGCGCCCACTGGGGGGAAGGGGAGGGCGCAGCCTCAGTCCTAGCTGAGGTTGTGTTTAACAGTGACAGCCAGCACGTCTGTAAGATGTACAAGATACAACTATTTACTATTTTATAACACTTGTTTTACATTCTTTTTAAATATATAGTATAGCAATTAAAATATTTTGTGGCTTTAATTTTTTAAAAATTGTGTTGTACAAAGAAAGTCTAATCCCCAGTTAAGTTACCCACAGCTGTGGAAACTGGCTGAGTGGCCTGGCGTGGGCAGCAGCTTTGCACCTTGAGCGCCAGCTCGCTCAAGCGAAGGCTGCGTGAGTGCAAGACTGCCAAGCCGTCCGGAGCCCGCCTCGCAAACCCAAAGCCCGGAAGTCAAGCTGGGATGAGCACAGGGGGCACTACCGTTACTGCTGCATGGGTTTGCTCGGGCGATGGTGAGGGGTGCAGGCGCACAGGCGCTTTGCAGAGCTCCTCCCATTGGCCGAATGTCTGCACGCTGACACTTCTCCTTCAGCAAAGCAACTTGCCAGCGCGCACAGAGAACGTGTGGGACCTGACCGCAGCTGCTGCTCCACCTCGCGTGTTTTCCAGACAGTTTTCTGAAAACAGGAGTCGATGGAAAGGGCACTTAAGAAATTTGGTCCCTGAAAATTTCAGGGAAGGCCGGGACGTGGCTCAGGGAGGAGAGCTGGCCGGTGTGTGAGACCCTGGCGCCCCACGCCCCCAGCACGGAGAACGCTTTCCCAGTTTGCGAAGTGCACTCAGCACTAGGATATTCGGACCATCTTTTTGCACTTTCTCTTCTGGTGCTGGGGGTTGAACTCGAGGCCCTGTGTCTGCTTAGCACGTACCCTATCTCTAAGCTACGTCCTCAGCCCCAGAATAGGCTATCTGAATATTATTCTGTAATTGGAGCAAGTTCTGAACTGTTTATCTGCAGGTATATGCTATTGCGGTATTATAGAAGTTTCCTGCTTGTGTCATTTCAGGCCATTAAAATGTGTCACTTGATTCCATCCCAAGCCTGAGAAGGAGTTTGGTGTCAACTTCTACAGTTGTAACCGTTCCAGCGATTACCAGCTCTGAAGCAGCTCTTAAATGCTGAGAGCAAGACATAGGAAATTTCATTCCTGCTGAGCAGCGAGGGCTGAGCGTGTTACGAGAGGCCGTATTGACGCATCTGCAGCCGCGGCTTCCTCTGGCGGGAACGAGCTGGTGGTCAGGGAGACCCTTCAGTCCCGATAATGAGCTCAGCAGCCGTCGCACGTTTTGTGACAGTTCGGGCTGCAGTTGGACTGCTCTGTTCGTCTGCTGTGCGGCACACGCAGCACACTCCACACCCAGTTACTCCTGTCACTTTCCTTATTGTTACCACTGTCACTCTGGTGACCTGGGTCCCCTCTCCCTTTTATTTTCTGTTTATTTGGGGGGACTGCTACCAGTCCACCCGGTTAGAAAGCCAGGGTCACCCCTGCCTCTGCCCCCTCCTCTCAGCAGTGTCCCCAGGCATCTCCTCCCTTCCTGCCCCCCTGGGCTTGTTCAGCGCTCATTTGCGGCTTCCTGGATGATCTCACCCGTTGCCTGCGAGGGCACTGGGACCGCAAGCGTTCAGCCTCAAGCCTGCGCTTCGCGCAGCACCAAGACGACCGGCCCCGCCCTGTTTACTGCCTTTCCGGGCGCTCATTGCCAGGGGAGCAAAGCCCCGGCTCACCCAGGCTGGCCTTGTTGCCCGGCTCGCCCGCTGACAGAGCGGGCCCTGGGTCCCTCTCAGGCCCTTGTCACGTGGTGAGACCGTGGCAGCGGGTAGTCTTTAGGAGGTCCACCATGGGGGGCAGGTCCTGGAGACCTGCTCTGGAAAGGGACCCGGGGACCCGGGCCTCTTCTTCGTTCTTGGCCTCCTGGACGCCATGAGCGAGCAGCTGTGTTCCACATCACACTCCTACCGCCACGCGCGACCTCACCAGCAGCTCCCAAGCCCCCGGCCGACGACCAAGGACTGACGCATCCAACGCTGTGATCCGCCTTACAAGTCAGCTTGCCGCAGGGATGGAAAGCCGACCGCGACACGCTCCAAGTCACGACTCCAGCAGGGCTGAACTTGATCCGCGCTGCGCACTGTGCGAGGGATGGTGCTTTTCCCCAGAGCCTTCTGCTCTGCTGGCTCCTTTGCACAGTCTCCTGCCCACGCCGCCCTCCAGCTGTCTGTCCCTTACCTAGGCCCCGGCCACCCTCTACACACAGCTTGGATACCACTTCCTCAGGAACTCCTGCCCCGCCGCCTGTGAGCCCTGCGCTCCGTCCCAGCCTGGATCCCCTCTGCTCCGAGGACGCCAGGAGCAAAGCGTCTCCACGCTGAGGGCGTTCCCGGAGCCGATGCAACGCTTGCTACACTGTACTGCAATTCTCTGCAGGTCTCTGTGGAATGCTAGCTCATTCCTTAAAGAGTAGGATATTAGAAAGTCACAATCTGATAGAAAAATATTCAAATATACTAGAAAAAACAAAATACCTCACAAAAAAGTGCTCATAACCCTTAAACATATGGAAAGGCATTCAGCTGTGCTAACAAAGTGCCTGCAGAGTGCCATGTTATTATTTCTTACCTAACACATGGACAAAAGTCAGAAGGTTTAACAGAAACTCTGCACAGGGCTGTGTGAAAACAGGCGAATAGGTGCTCAGCAGTCCTACGGACAGGAATCCAGGCTGGTGCCACCGCTCTGCGGGGAGGGAGAGAGGTGCTGAGCAACGCTGGCTACGGACTGTCTGCCTCCTCTCAGACCCCCCGGCCCTCCACCATTCCAAGACTCACACACACGCCTGCAAAAATACAAGGAGGCAGACGCACAACGCTGTCCTTTGTGGCACTGCGTATTGTACCGTTATTGTTATACTATTAAAAGTTGCTCAGGTGATCAGTACAAGTGGACTGGCGGAATAGATTATGGTAAATGCACACATTTAGTATTTTGTACCCAAAAACCCCCTATTTTTATATAATGCTATAAAGTGATCTACGGATGTGTTAAGAGAAAAAACAGGGGAGAAGAAAGTATGTTCAATGTGCCACGGTTCCTTGGAGAAAGGTGAGGCTATGACTGTAAATACAGATTTGCTTCTATTTTTAGAAATATTTCTATTAAAAAAAAATGGCAGTCAGTCGAGAATGAAACATGAAGAAAGGCCTCCTCATCAGGCAGGTGCTGTGCCACCCAGCTCCGTCCAGCCTCCATTCACCCCTCCATCCATCCATCCATCCATCCATCCGTCCATCCATCCATCCGTCCGTCCATCCATCTCTCTGTTCATCCAGCCAGCCAGCCAGCCAGCCAGCCAGACTTCATCCATCCATCCATCTGTCCATGCATCCATCCACCCACCTACCATCCATCCATCCATCCATCCATCATCCATCCATCCATCCATCTGTCCATCCATCCATCCCTCCCTCCATCTATCCACTTGTGGTGCTGGGGACTGGACCCAGGGCCTGTACCCTGAACTATACCACCAGCCCCCACCCCTTTCTAAAAAATTGTGTTGGGACAGGTTCTCACTAAGTTGTGAAGTTGCCTAGGCAGGGTTTAAACATGGGATCCCCCCACCACAGCCTTCCAGAGTGCTGGGATCACAGGCAAGCACCACCACACCTAGCTACCCAGCACTCTAAAATTTTATTTTGAGAAAGGTCTTGCTAAATTGCCCAGGCTGGGCTTGAATTTGTGATCTTCCTGTCTCAGTCTCCTGAGTAGCTGGAATTTGGGAATGCACCATTATGCCCAGCTGAATAAAGATTTTTAAAATTATGAACTGGAAGTCAGAGTATAACAGGGAAGTAGGCAAAGTAAATACCTGGGGCTAAGCGTGCTGGTGCATGCCTGTAATCCCAGCACTTGGGTGATTAAAGCAAGAAGATCGCTGCGAGTTCAAGGTCAGCCTGGATTACAAAGTGAGACCCTGTCTCAAAAAAAAATCTAGGGGGCTTGGGCATAGCTCAATGGTACAGTGCTTGCTTAGTGTGTGCAGACCCTGGGTTTGATCCCCAGCGTGGCAAAACAAAACAAAACAAAATTTTTAAAGCCACACGCAAATAATTAAAGCAAAGTAGTAAGAGTTAAAAAGGTAGATCTGATCACACAATGCTGTAGAAATTGAAGAGACATGAAGAAGAGAACACTTGGTTAAGAAAATATGTGGGCAACGGGTCTCAGAGTATGGGAAATATTTGCTATGAGACATTACAGGAAGGTAAAATTCTATGTATAAAGGCTGAGAGGAATGAAAGAACATTGAAAGCTACAAATAAATGGATATGACCAAGATACAAACTATTTAGAAAGATATTATACTATGAGACTGGGAATATATAGAGAGTACACACACACAAGTACACACACACACAACACACACACACACACACACACATTAGTGCAGATCGCTGTACTAATAAATGTCCAGAAGCTCATGGTCACCACTCTGAACACCTCTTGTAATTGTAGAGGCCAAAGGTAATTTGCATTAATCTCATGATGTCTCAATAAATTTAGTATTAAAATGTTTACACAAGTTTTTCTTTTCCTGACACATACTTTTTTTGGCAGCCTTTGTGTTTTTTCCTTACTCATATATTAATATATTCTCTGATTGTATTTTATCTAGTCAGTGTTTTCCAGATGTATTTAACGATGTTTGGCACTTTTTTGTTCATTTTGCTTTTTGTACAGTGCGTCTCACAGGACGTTCTCTGGGAATGCTGTGAGACGCTGGTGGCAGCGTGGGCGGTCTGATACCTGGACCAGTCTCCTGACCTCGACAGACGGGGAGAAGTCATCGCTGGTGCCGTGCCCAGGAGCGACGCTGCCGAGTCTGTGTGTCCTTGGAGCCTGGAATGTTCCCCTCTGAGAACCGGAACACCCTTTCTGCTGTCGTAAGTGTCCTTAGCAACCCCGGCCAGGGCCTCCGTCTCAGAGAGAGCGGGCTCACTGGTCTGCGGGAGCCAAGGGAGGCCCCAGTGGCCCAGGGAAGAGGTCGCCATGGCGTCTGTGTCCTACCGGGAGCCGCTGTCTATGACCGTGGGGAAACGAATGGTTGTCACAGGTGAGCAGAGCTTCCATGTACACTTCCGGGAGGAGGTCGGAACTACCTTTGTCCCCGACCCGAGGGTGCTCACGTGGTGGACGTAACTGTGAAGCAATCACACACGTCCCTTTTACACGACACTGCTATCTCACACCACTCGGCCGCTGGTGACTGCTGTCACCATAAACACACCTTTGTAGCAGTTGTCACTGTATCTGCATTAACTTTCGCAAGGAAACCTTTCTACTAACATAACATTTATGGTTTGTGTAAGATGAACTGCTTGTGGTGAACAGAAAGTATACTTTCAATCAAAATTTCATTGCTAGTGATTTAAGCCTCTGGTATCTTTACAAATTTTACGTATTTGGTTGATAAAAAAATGAGCAAGATGTGCATTCAACAGAGTTGTTCAGTTATGTTTGTTTGTTTTGGTCTTTTTGAGACAGGGTCTCGCTGTGCAGTTCAGGCTGGGCTTGAGCTCACTTTGTAGCCCAGGCTGGTCTCGAACTCACAACGATCCTCCTGCCTCAGCCTCCCGAGTGCTGGGATTATAGGCATGCGCCACCACGCCCGGCCTGTTAGGTTGTGTTTTATCCCTTTACCTTATTTAAAAATATTCAGACGGAACGTGTCTGCAGAATTCCACATTATAACCAAATCTAAAACAATAGAGGATGTGTGGTAAGTCAGTCTGTGCGACACAAACTAAATCTCATCTTTCTCCTTTATCTTCTTCCAACTCTGAGCACGGGCTCGTGTTAGAGTGCCGCTGTGTACTGATGGTGGGTATTTGCGCCTTATGCCGTTTGTTCCTTCTTCTAACTCGGTGGCTTTGGGGACATCCTCCCTTTCCAAGTGTGGAGTCTGCCTAAGGCTGGTTTCCTGCCTGGTTGCTTGGCAACAAGGGACAGCCACCCAGACTAAGCCAGTCACACTGATCTCCCCAGACAGAATGGCGGGCACAGGCTGGTACCGTGCCCATGTCCTGCCAAACACGCCCAAAGGACTCAAAGACAGGGCCACACAAAGAAGCCCTGCTCCTGCATTTGGGCAGTGACCACTGGAGTCTGCAGTCTGCAGCCGCTGAGAGCCCACAGGAAGGGCGGGCATCTAGACAGCAACCGTCACAGCAACCCTGTCTGCCCCTCCAGTGCAACTGTTTCCTACACCTGTAACACAGGTCTCCTCGGTACAATCTGAACTCCTTCCCGGAACCCCCCCTTACTCCTAAATAATTCCTTAAAAATTTGCATGCACTGAAGTTTGCTGTTTTGCTATAAAGTAGACGGGTTTTGATAAATTTTTAAGGTTACACATCACCCTCTATAAAATCACACAGAATAGTTCTGCCACCCTAAAATGCCCTGTGTTCCCCTTATTCATTTTCCTGTTCTGCCTTGCAAGATCCTGGAGCCCTGATCCTTTTGTTCACTACCGTTTTCCTGCCCCCGAGTGCCACAGAGCTGGAAATACACAGTGTATATTAGGCACAACGGGAAAATAGGGAGAGTTTACATTAAAACCCTTTAACGACACAGCCACGGATCCCTCACAAGGCGCTGTCCACCCTGACCACATTCTGCCGCCCTGGCGGTGAAGCATGTCCGAAGGGAGGAGGAGCAACCGAGGGAGTTAATGACTATGAGTCTTTTACTGTAGGAAAGAATTTTTAAAAATTAAATATTCAGCATATTTTCATCACACTTTCAGAGTCTTTTCAGACTGACTTCCTCCTCTTGCCAATCCAGATTTGAAGCTGCTCTACGGCTGCTCGTGGTCCGATGGCTCCATCACGTCTTTTATCACTGAGTAACGAGGCCCCACGGTTTCTTCTCCATTCCTCTGCTCACCAGTGCCTTGGTGCTTCTGGTTTGGGGCCATGTGGAAAACATGAACATTTGCATGCAGGCTTTTGTTCACACGTGTCCCCAGCTCCCTGGGTAAGAACCTGGGAGTGCGCTATGGATCCTGTGTTCAGTGGGGTAATAACTCCCCAGGCGGGCCGCACCGGTTCACACTCCGTGAGCAGTGAGGGGGAGTGCTTGTTGCTAAGTATTCTTGTCCCCAGTGCTCGTCTGTTCCTGACTTGGCACCCTAACGGGTGTGTAGTTGCGTCACGCTGTTACTTCCGTTCACAGGTCCCTACTGGCCAGCAGTTTTGAATGTGAGTGCATATGCCGTGTGTCTTTGTTGGTGAGGTGTCTGTCCTAGTACTTGCCCATTTGAATGGCTCCCCTGCCCCAGGACCGGAGGTTGGATCCAGGGCCTCGGCACAAAGGTATATCCCTGGCCTAGTTTTTATTTTTTGAAATTTATTTATTTTTGTATCTTCCGCAGGATCGGGTGTGCCTGCCCGCCCTGTCCTGTGCATTTATTTTTCATGACTACCATTGCACTGAAGTCATAGCAGAAAGGACAGGGAGAAGCAGACAGTGATTCTCCTGATCCCATCCCTTCTCCCCCAAAAAGTCTTCTCTCTGGAGCAAAGCAAGCCTGGTGTGTGTTGGGGGGCACACCTGTGATCCCAGCACCCAGGAAGCTGAGGCAGGAGGGCCGAGAGTTGGAGCCGAGCCTGGGGGCTTAGTGAGACCCTGTGACAGCAAGGAGCCTGGCGCCCATTCGGGCCAGTGGTGCTGGGGCAACCAGGGCCTGGCCACCAGGCTGAGCGCTGGGCCTGCAGACAGACAGGACAGAGAGAGGCAGGGTCATGAGTGGTGGGGCTGCCCCACTGCCCGCCCGGCCGAGCCCAGCCGCGTGCCCAGCAGGACACCCTCTGTCCCCACAGGACGCTGAAAGGGAAGCTGGCCAGGCAGCACCCAGAGGCCTTCAGCCGTAGGTGTCACGGGGCCACTGTGCCCCCCGCCCAGAGCCGGACCCCTTGGGGTTCCCGTTGGCTGGTGCTGAGCCCCGGTCCTGGGGGCCGGGGCTGCTGGGAGCGGGGTGCCTGCCCTGGGTGGCCACAGATGTGGCCAGGGACGCCGACGACTCCGCCCCAGTGTGCCCCTCGGGACCCTTCCGGCTGTCACCCACTGTCACCTGTGCACAGGGGCTGTGTTCACACGGGCACTCTGACGCCCAGAGAGGAAGCCAGAAAGGGACACGGAGCCGGAGGGACCAACTCAGCTGGTCTGCTCGCCCGTCCCAGCTGGTGCCCCCACACTGAGCCTTGGTTTACCACTTGTGCTAAGTGGCGAGGGTTCTCTGTCCCAGGGCTGGTGACAGCCTGTGCAGGGAACCTGGGGAAGGTGACACAGCTAAGGTCACGCGGCCTGACCTCAAAGCCCATGTCCTACCCACGCCTCAGTTTCCTCCTCTGTACAATGGGCCAGGCCATATCCCTGTGGAGTTGTGGGATCTGCTGGGGTCACCTGCATCTGAGCAAGGCCCTGACCCAACCTGCTGGTCCCCTGCCTAGATGTCCCCGAGGCCTTGTTCCTGGAGGATGAAGACGAAGACCCCATCCCGCCCAGTGTCACCACCACCATCGCCACCTCTGAGCAGAGCACAGGCTCGTGCGACACCAGCCCAGACACTGTCTCGCGCTCCCTCAGCCCCGGCTTCGAGGGCCTGTCCCATATCCGGCCTGGCTCCCCCGCTGTCAATGGCCGCAGCCCCATGGACCCGGAGGAGACACCGGGCGAGCAGCCCACCCTGAGCTCTGGGGTGTGGTCCTGGGTGTCTAATTATTAAAATTTATTGTTATTTGGAAATGAAGCCTAAGTCACCAAGTTGCCCAGGCTGGGCTACAATGGCTTTTTAAATACCTTTCCGCTGAGTTGCAAGTTCTGTGCATCCGAGTTCTCGTGTACAAGGCCTTTACTCGACAAGGGTTTTGTGGAAGTTCTCTCCCGCTCTGTGACCCGGCTTCTCACTCCCTTAGCACCGTCTTCCACAGAGCAGAATCCTAGTTTTCACAAAGTGCAGCTAGTCCAGGTTTTCCTCCCATGGACGGTGCTGTTAGCGAGGTCCCAGGGGCTTCCCTCCTGTGCTGTATTCCAGAACCTTATGCTCGTGTTTCCCGGAGGTCCCCGGCCCATTTGGAAGCAGCTTTGGAGCCCCTTAGCCTCGTCACCTCCGTCAGTCACTTTCCTGTTCCTGAGGTCGTGGTTTTCTGTCCCGTGCAGCTGTGTGAGAACCCTAATCGATATTAAAATTCGTGACAGTTGGACTTCACAGGAGGACCTGAGGCTTAATGAAGCACATACAGGACACCGGGCAGGTGCAGTCTTGGGGTGCTGGGCTCCTCTCTGTTATCTGAAGTGGTCCTTTCTGTCTCTTCCCGCCCCCTCCTCCCTCGAAGTCTCCGTTCTGCTCTCCACCGTCCACGTTTTCTGTAACTGTGAGCTTTAGGCCGACAAAACAAACCACACTGATGGACATCTGCTTGCCAGCTAACCTTCTGTACAGGTTTCACTGTTTACTTGCTAAGTTTATAACGCAGCGAGGAGATTTTATAGATAATGTTAGCTTTGCATTACGAGGAAAATCTAAAATAAACAAAATTATGAGGAGACTTAAAACATTGTAGAGCATGTTGCATATTTTTAAAACATTTGTGTGCATGTCGGGGAGATCGCTCCGCTGTTCAGCACCTGCCTGGGAAACGCAAGGTACTGAGTTCAATTCCTGGTACCAAAAAAAAATGTGTGCACATTCAAGTGATATAATTTATTTATCCAGCTGTGGGCCCTGTGATTTTCAAGGTTTATCTTTTTCACTTGTTTTTGTTTGTGTTTGTGGTGCAGGGTTCAAATCCAGAGCCTTGCACATGCCAAACATGTGCTGTACCTCTGAGCTACCCCCCACCTCTAGAAATGCATTCTTTTTTACAAAATGAATATACAATTCATTTAACGTTCAAACTTCATTAAGACGCATGCAATATGGCAATTTCACGGGGGGCTTACCCTACCTAGGATATGATTGCTTACTGGGCTCTAGTAAGAGGGTCCTGCTCACACTTAGCATTAATTAAATACTTTATTAAATACAATACCAAAACAAACGCATTCCAA